ACCACCCAGCTGATTGAATGCAGACGAGACAGGGGGACAGGAGGCTACTGTGCACGCACATGCCTAAGCATGAAGGGAAACTGGAGGGAACAGGGCCGATAGGGATAAACAGCAGAGGGCAAGAATAGCAGGTAGATAAACGGGGAAAACGGGGGGGGAGCAGCAACAACGGAAAGGCACCTATAATGCCGAACCCAGATGCGCAGCCCAGAATGATTGCGGGGGGGTGTCGGAAAATACACCAACAGCAACAATATTAGGAAAGATAGGATTGACAAGGATGGGAAGGGTGGAAAAAGAAACAATGGGAAGAAAGAAGGCTGTGAAATTGGAATGCAAACGAGGGGAGGCGGGACAACTGAGGCAATTATGGTCAATTAGGACAGACAGCCCTATCACACCGTCAATGAGCAAGAAACTTGAGTTAGCAAGGTTTATAAGAAAACTCCCCATCCCCTGACACTCACTCTTATGAGGCTGGCAGTGGACCAGCGAAAGTTTAGGTTGTTTTTAGTATTGTAAATAGTTGTTTTTTATAGTTTTAGTTTTTTTAACAATAAACAGCTGGTTTATATCCTTCTCAGAGTTCAAGGATTTTTTATCATTGCATATATATATATATATATATATATATATATATATATATATATATATGCTAATAAATAAATAAAAGTGAACACCAGGGTAAAATCATTAAACTATAAAAGTTTAATACCGATAAACAACCAAGCTTTCGTCAGCTTCCACTGCTGACATCATCAGGGCTTAAGAAGCCAGTCCATGGGAGAGTCTTTTATAGGTTGAATGAGGCCTGCACACGGCCCCTGGACCTCGTCACTGGCCCTGATTGCGTAGGCTGCGTTCTAGCGGTGGTTTTCCCCCCGTTGGCTGTTCTTATCCTGCAATGCTCACCCGTGCGTACGCCTTCACATAACCCATTCTCACTCGGGCCGGGGGTAGATGGAACATTCCCCCCTCCTGCCCTCCTCGGCTGTATCCCCCGCGCCGCCTGCCCATGTGATCCTGCTCTCCTACTCCCTGCAGCGGTCAAATCCACCCGGCTCGGGGTGCCTATTCCCTTTCCTGGAGTCCAGCTGGTCCCAGCCACCTCGTTGCCGTTCCCACAGGCACTTCCCCCCCTTTCTTCTCTGATCGTATCTCCCGTATCTCCTGTGTCCCTCAGCGATCCACCCCTGTCGTTCTTCCACTCGCCCCACCTGGGCTGACTAAATTCATTCATTCAGGTAGGTAGGGTCACGGGCAACGAGGAAGAGGGGAGGAAAGTTGGAACGCAGGTGGCTAGGAAGAGAGAGGGGGACAACGGGCAACAAAGAGGTACCCTGGGTGCAAAACTGCCCCCCCCAATGTACGAGCAAAGCAGGGAAGGAATGGGGTGGGGAAGAGGGAGGCAAGAGTGTGTCAGCTTGCGATACGACGATTAGGAACCGAACGCAGGAAGATCGTTTGGGCCCAGTCACAAGGTCCAGGAGTCGGGTGCAAAAGGCACCACTCCTATAAATAGCCATCCCATTGACTGCTAGTCACCCTGATGATGCTGGCAGAAGGCCGGCGAAAGCTAAGTGTTTTAACTTTATTAAACTTTTATAGTTTTAATCTCCTGGTGGTCTCACAGTTTGTGGTTTCCCGAATATGGATTTACCCAGGAGTCAGCCTTCTATTTTTAGGATTTTAAACAATATATATTATACTGGGATAGCTATTTCGAGATGATTACAAATGATGTTGCAGTAGCGACTGCTGCCTGTGGATGGCTCTAGATTGAGCTGATACAGGCAAAAGATTTCTTCCTCCCATATTTGGGCTGACAGGTGTATCAAAAAAACACTCAACACACACACGTATGTATGTATGTATGTATGTATGTATGTATGTATGTATAGATAGATAGATAGATAGATAGATAGATAGATAGATAGATAGATAGATAGATAGATAGATAGATAGATAGATAGATAGATATTCATTCTTTTGAGAACAGGCATCAGAATTTCATTTTTAATGTGTATCTTACCTTGTTGCATATAGCTGAGTTTTAAATGGTTGTAAAACTTTTCTACACAGATTCTTTCCTCCTTTACATTTACCTCCCTCCCATGTTCTATTCTCCACAAGCTCTCTGATAAAAGGGGCCCAAATCATAAAAAGGTAATCCAGAGTCACAATCATACTCTTAATCAAGAGAAGGACAGCATGACTGCCTCACATAGAGAATCTTTCCAGTCACTCTGGAGTTGGGTGGTGCCAAAACCAAATCAAATTAAAAGTTCAGGTTTCAGCAGGATTTACTTACCAACTTCATCCACTGCTAGCATCATTTTCTCCAGTTCCTCTGGGCAAATGTCAGGGCAATGTGTAAAACCAAAGTAGATTAAAACCCACTGGCCCAGATAATCACGATCTGATTTCGATTGTCCATGGTGATCAACAAGTGAGAAAGGGCCTCCTAACAAAGGCTTTCCAATGGATCGGATACTCTCTCTCTCCAATGCTGAAATTTGATCACAAAATTAGATTATCTGCCGGCAGCTTTGATGGAGGAAAATCTTAAAAGGATTCCAACAGAAATTCCTATACATACATTCCTAATTCCTCACCTTTTCCTGAGAGACAATTTCAAGTGTGTCTCTTCTTGGAACCTGTTTTGGGTTTGTTTTTTATTCTTGTTTTACCTAGAAAATACTATCTATCCTGGGGATAAAAATACAGAATTACAATGGCAAATGCTAAAGGCAGTACAAGAAATAGTACAATGAAATATTTACAACTTGGGAAGAGATAACATGGAAACTTCCAGAATCTCTCAAAATCTCTGCAGAAAATTATTTAAGATCACTTATATCCTATCTTGTTGTATTTAGATTCAGGGGCTTTAATTAAGATTGATCCTGATTGTATTTCAATAAATGCTAGTACATTTATTGCTTTAGTGATTTTTGAAGCAGCCATTACAGCATCCCAATTTTATACCAGAGCAGAGATTTATTGCTAGCATAACCTGAAAGAGGAAAAACTTTTAATATTTACAATATCTACACATTGGGAAATCACCTGAAGAGAAGGACAATAAGCAGAAATAAAAACCATAACACATGCTTGGGCATATTTCATGATGGTAAGAATCAATTATAAAAATGTACAGTTATTTGTATCATTCCTTCATGTGCTTGGATCACAACTCCCAATACATCTGGGAACCATCAGTTTAGAAAAAAAATCAAACTACCCAATAGCCACCCTTGACTAGATATGCAATTATTTGCACAACACAATTTACATCTCTACAATACATGATAATAAAAAAGCAACAGAATGATTGAAATAATACCCACCTGCTTCTTTCTCTTTCTTTAAGTATTTCAGTAGTCCCAGCATCCCACCTCCAATCACAGCCGTGACTGCTAAACTCTTCCAAGTTACCGGCTACTGGGAAAGAAGAGAAAACGAAATGTTCATAAATAAATGCTTTCGCGTCAGGCCGAGCCCGTTTCTTACGAGCGCTAATCGTGTGACTTCTCGTGGTCTATCCTAACCTTTTTCCAGGCGCTTTTAATTTTTCTCCCCTATTCCCGGCAGAGCCGGTTTATTTTTCTGCCTGTATGAGGACGATCAAGATTAAGCTCAAGATCGGGAAAGAAGATGGGGAGATGCCTTTTAAGTTCACCGATTAAAATCTCACGAACGGGACTCCGCACCTTTGAGCAAGTCCAGCCTGAGAGAGGGATTTGGCCAAGTGTCATTCTTCCAGCTTCGCGGAAAGGACAGACCCGCGATCCCGACCGAAGCGCCCTCTTTGGCCAAGAAGGTTGCGCGCAAAGGTGCCCAAAGAAAGGCCCTCTCCCCGGGGCCCAGCGATCCAGCGCTTGCAGCAGCTGCCCTCGGCTTCTCCCACTCTGACTTCTACAGCCGGAATGCCTCACCCCAGGTTTCTTGAAGCCCTTCTGCCTTCCTTTGACCGGGGGTGGGGTGACCAGGGGCCGGACAGGACAGCAGCGCGGGAAACAATGCGGTCGAAACTCTAGACGCGTGCAAAGGGCGAGCGACGCCAGGCGAACCCGCACCGCTCCCGCCATCCTTCCCTTCCCGGATTCACGAACCAGCACGCCCGACTTGAATTTCCGGGACAGACCGGCGTCCTGCCATTGCATTGGCTTCAAGACTGTCACATGGCGTCCTGTACCCTCCGAGGACCGCAAGGGGCGCTTGTGTTTCCTTTTGGCTCCCTACGGTTTGCATGAAGAAGCGGGCACCGTTGAAATCCGGCCCTCGTCAAAGGACTTTCTGCTCCTCGTTCGCCTGTCTCTCGAAATCGCAATAGGCGGACTTCAAAGGAATGAAAGGAATTAAGGCGGCTTTGGAAAGGAGGGTTATTATCAGTCAAGGCTTTTATAATAATAATAATAATAATAATAATAATAATAATAATAATAATAATAATAATAATAATAATAATAATAATAATAATAATATATTCTTTTTCTCTTAGTGGGATGGTGATCTTTTCTTTCTAACTTCTCTTGAATAGTAATACTGGTAAGAAAGTTGGAGAAATCCCAACTTTTCATTCTGTTTGACAACAAGTGGGTTACTAGGTAATTTTTCAAGCATTTTCATATTGGGAAAAGTCCGTCTTTTCAACTTAAAACAAGCGTGGGGGGGGGGAAGACGACATCCATTGGCAACCTCTTCAAGCATTAATTTGTTTTGTGGAAACAAATTAAGGCGAACCGAGCCTAGCTTCCAGACTTTCTCGATTTCCCACTCAATTTACCAATTACCCACTTCCGACCGGGGAGAGAAAGAGAGAGGAGATAACAGGATGGAAGAAAACCAGGAACTATCTCTTTGCAGCACTTAAAGAGTAGGTGTCGCAACGCAAGGTACAGAGTTTACAGTTATAGCTCTATGGCGAAGGAAAGGAAATGAAATCACTTCCGTCGGCATTTTTATTTCCTTTTTTCTTAACTGAAAAAACCCCCCACCCAAACTTCAAGTTACGTGAGCGAGACTGATTGCTCGTATTCTAAGTAATCATACTTAGGTTCAAATGCAAGACTAACAAACCTACGTGCGGGTGGCTAATTGGAAATCTTCAGATGTTCATTCTGGGAAAATGTAAGTAATTTGTAGCACTTTTGACACAGAGGGCTTTCCTACTCGCTCTCTCTGTTGCAGAAAAGAACAGAGGAAAACGGAACAAAAGTTCCTTAGTTAACAGCACACGAAAGACTTCCCCAAACCTAGGNTATATCCCGCCCTTCTCCTTGCGGACTCAGGGCGGCTAACAACCAGATAAAATGCTACTACCAAAAAACTACAAATTAAAAACATAATTAAAAACAAATATTAATAATTGGTCTAGTAGTTAAAAATTACTTTAAAACCCCCATTAAAAATTTTTCCCCTAGGCCAGTCCTGCAAGTTGGAATAACCATGTCTTAAGGGTGCGGCGGAAGGACATTGCTGCGCGGCGGAAGGACATTGCTCTGGTCTATCAAGGACCTGGGATAGGCAGATGTTGTCTATGACTCTATGGTACTATATTGAAAGACATGACAGTATGCAATCATATTAGCTACAAGTTATTATCACAGGTTTTAATAATTAAGACTGCATACATGTGTGTTTACCTAGCAGTAGAATTATGTTCAATTGCTAGTGGTTCATGGACATGTCCATGCTATTTTCTTGGCAATAATACTTTGCTATTACCTTCTTCCACAATATAGTACTATAAATTGCTTTTGGTTTCCAGCCTAACCTAAGGCTTTGATCTTTTCCAGGGCTTCCTCCTAGTACTAATCTAATTTTTTTTAAAATCAACTACAGATAATCTTCAGTTTATGACCATTGATTTAGTGACCATTCAAATTACGATGACACTGAAAAAAACTGATTTTGACTGGTCTTCATACTTATGACTATCACAACATCCGTGTGATCATGTGATCAAAATTTGGGCACTTTGCAACTGGCATGTACTTAACAACAGTTGCAGTGTCCCAGGGTCACATGCTTACCATTTGTGACCTTCCTAGCTTCCAACAAGCAAAATCAATAGGGGAAGCAACATTTCTTAATGACTGCATGATTCATTGAAATGACAGCAAAAATATCATAAAATCAGGCATGACTCACTAAACTACCTATAGTACTGCCACTTAGCTTGGCCATGTAGTGACAGTATTGTGTTCTGAATAGGCGTATGTAAACTTCTGCTGAATATGGTTAACCCAGTCTAAACTACTGGGTTGACAGAATACGAATTGATAAGATTGATAGCATTATTCTTTTCTTATGAAAATCTATGAGAAAAAGAACTGTAAATGAATACAGTTTTAATTTGGGTCATTTCAAATATATTCTACTACCTTCATGAAATACAATTTACTGAAATGATCATTAGGTCCATCAAAAACTGTAAAGCATTCCTACAGACTTGGATGTTGCCTCACCAGATTTACTATCCAAACAATTGATCTGTTCTTTTCTTCCTTCCATTAGTTTTCAGCAAGACCTTTTGGGCAATATGGATGCAGGAACCACAAGAACAACGTCTGAAGCGCTCTTCTCCTTTGGAATCGTAGCAGACGTTCAATATGCTGATATTGAGGATGGCTATGATTTCCTGGGATTTAATAGGAGATACTATAAACATAGCCTATGCTGTCTCCAGAAGGCAATTGAAGATTGGAATCGAACTGAGGTTCAGTTTGTAATACAGCTCGGCGACATTATTGACGGCTTCAATGCCCAACATAAGACATCAGAGAAAGCATTGCAACAAGTTATGAATGAATTTAAGAAACTCGGTGCACCAGTCCATCACATATGGGGCAATCATGAATTGTATAATTTCAGTCGGAATTATCTTATGGAATCTGAACTGAATACCAAGTACTTAGAAGACCAAAGTTTGTTTAATAACTTCATCAGCAGAGAACAAAGCTCCACAGGAAACCCAGCTACAGAGTTCTATTACGCCTACCAGTTTTCTCCAATGCCAAAATTTCGATTCATTCTTCTTGATGCATATGACTTAAGTATCCTGGGGAGGGAAACATCAACGAAAAAATATAAAGAATCTCTGCAGCTGCTACAAGACAAAAATCCCAATGAAAATCTGAATAGTCCACTAGGTATTATATTCTGATGAACATAATTGTTGCACATTTTTAGAGTCATGGTCTAGGACAGGGCTTTTCAACCTTTTCACCCATGGTACCACTTTCAGGATATGGCAACATCCAAGTACCAGCAGTCGCCTAGCAAGGTGTCAAAAACTTGATGACCCCCCAAAAAAAGAAAGGGAAAAAAGTGATAAAGTACCGGTAGTCCTCGACTCACAACAGTTCGCTTAGTGACTATTCAAAGTTACAATGGCACTGAAAAAAGTGCCCCCCAAGCCATAGCCAAGACACCTGCCTGCCCACCCGGTGGCACTCTTCCTCCTGTCTGAGGTTTTCATTGTTGTGAGTGTTTCTGTTGAGGATTGGTAGCGGGGGTGGGGTGGGAGGTGTTTGGTTTTTATTCCCCCCCCCGTCCGCTGGATGGTTGCAGCAGGTTTTGGTCACTTCACATGACCCTGGGACACTGTGACCTTCATAAATATGAATCAGTTGCCAAGCATCTGGATGTAAATCACAAGACCCTGGAGATGCTGCAACATTCCAGCTGATTGGCACTTCTTCAGGGCTCAGCAGAAGTGCCAGGATCAGTGCCGAGCTCCAGCTGGAGCCTGGCACTGATCCTGGCACTTCCACTAAGCCCTGACAGCACCGAAGAAGCACCGATCAGCTGGAAAGCGGCACTGATCCTGATGTTTCCGCTGAGCCCTGACAGCCCTGCAGCTCCAGCCATCTCTCGCTCAGGGTTGTGCGGTGCTGCCACTGGTTCAGCTCATTCCCCTCCCCTGCTACCACTTTTCTAGGATGGTCGCGTACCACCTGCCAGGTGCCAATGTACCACAGGTGGTACCCGTACCACTGGTTGAAAAGCCCTGGTCTAGGAAAGAGCTGGTTTTGTGTGGATAAAAAAATGTGCTATTAACGAATGTGAAGATATCTCCACATAATTCTGTTTTAGGGGACTACTCATGTTAAGTCTGTCATACCAAAAAAAAAAAAAATTATGATAATTTTAATACCAACCATTTACTATAGGATCATAAGTGGGTTTGTTTTCTTGGTGTTCCTTTAAAGTATATGGCAAGGACATCACCCCATAGAATCCTCATTTCAGAATAGCAACTTTTTCACACACAAAAGTTCTACAAAATTAAGCTAGGCAATAAAGTATTAATGCATTTATGTAATCTCTAAATTAGGAAAGGGAAGGTAGAGCTATATCTACTACCTACAAACATCGATATGTTCTGTATAACTTCTGCAGTATTATGTTTCCAATTATTAAATGATTATTTTTATGCAACTTGATTGAAATATCAATAGAGACATTGACATATTTCCTACCTCCAGGAAACTCAGTTAAAGCAAACTTTTTTAAATCCCATTTTCTTCATTTACTAGGCTTAGTTTGATCCTTTAAAGTCAGGGATACCCTGCCTTTAACACACATTTCTGAAATTGACCATTATTCATAAAAAGTACATTTCAAACTAAAAATATAGCTTATGTGTTTGGGATATTAGTACATGACCGTAATAAAGATTGTTGTTGTTATATAGCTTCCCATCAATTTACTCTTTTTTTACAGGGCTTGCTGAATGCAATTTTGTACAGTTCAATGGTGGATTCAGTCAAGACCAGCTGGACTGGGTTGATAAAGTCCTTACCTATGCTGATGAGAATCAAGAAAGAGTTGTGATTGCAGGTATGGCTGTACTTTTAATAATTAGTAGTATTGGGGATGGAATAAAATATTTTAATATTTGTGGTTTTACCATTCTGACTAGGGTAAACTCTGCTGGTTTGGAGTGTTTTGCTGCCTGAACTGAATTGTATGTTTTGAATACTTCAGGGAAGGAAAGGAGGTGGGAAAATCAAGTGGGATACACTTTGCTGGGACATCAGCAACAGTTATAGTTAAAGGGACAAAGAGAACATACTGGAAAAATTAGGGGCGGGCTTGCTATGTTGTGTATCACTTCCCATCTCTCCCTGGGAAATGCACAGTAGAGAGGAAGTAATAGATATTTATTTATTTAGGAAATTTATTTGCCACTCATCTTGTAACCAACAACTCTGGGTGGTTTATAGCATAAAAATAAAATAAAAAACATTAAAATCAACATTCATAGTACATAGCAGATAAAATCATTAACAATTATCTCTGTCAATGTTCTACCTGCACTTCCTGAAGTTTTGGCTGCTGACCTGAAACAGTGTGACGCAGACCTAAACATGTACAGTGAGGGGGAAAATTATTTGATTCCCTGATGATTTTGTACATTTGCCCAGTGACAAAGAAATGATCAGTCTATAATTTTAATAGTAGGTTTATTTTAACAGTGAGAGACAGAATAACAACAACAAAAATCCAGAAAAATGTATTTCAAAAAAGTTATAAATTGATTTGCGTTTTAATGAGTGAAATAAGTATTTGACCCCTTTGCAAAACATGACTTAGTACTTGGTGGCAAAACTCTTGTTGGCAATCACAGAAGTCAGATGTTTCTTGTAGTTGGCCACCAGGTTTGCACACATCTCAGGAGGGATTTTGTCCCACTCCTCTTTGCAGATCCTGTCCAAGTCATTAAGGTTTCGAGGCTGGCATTTGACAGCTTGAATCTTCAGCTCCCTCCACAGATTTTCTATGGGATTAAGGTCTGGAGACTGGCTAGGCCACTCCAGGACCTTAATGTGCTTCTTCTTGAGCCACTCCTTTGTTCCCTTGGCCATGTGTTTTGGGTCATTGTCATGCTGGAATACCCATCCACGACCCATTTTCAATGCCCTGGTTGAGGGAAGGAGGTTCTATCCCAAGATTTGATGGTACATGGCCCTGTCCATCATCCCTTTGATGCGGTGAAGCTGTCCTGTGCCCTTAGCAGAAAAACACCCCCAAAGTATAATGTTTCCACCTCCATGTTTGACGGTGGGGATGGTGTTCTTGGGATCATAGGCAGCATTCCTCCTCCTCCATACGTGATGAGTTGAGTTGATGCCAAAGAGCTTGATTTTGGTCTCATCTGACCACAACACTTTTCACCAGTTCTCCTCTGAATCATTTAGATGTTCATTGGCAAACTTCAGACGGGGATGTATATGTGCTTTCTTGAGCAGGGGGACCTTGCAGGCACTGCAGGATCTCAGTCCTTCATGGCGTAGTCTGTTACCAATTATTTTCTTGGTGACTATGGTCCCAGCTGCCTTGAGATCATTGACAAGATCCTCCAGTGTAGTTCTGGGCTGATTCCTCACCGCTCTCATGATCATTGAAACTCCACAAGTGAGATCTTGCATGGAGCCCCAGACCAAGGGAGACTGACAGTTATTTTGTGTTTCTTCCATTTGTGAATAATCGCACCAACTGTTGTCACCTTCTCATCAAGCTGCTTGGCTTGTAGCCCATTCCAGCCTTGTATTGGCTTACAATTTTGGCTTGTAGCCCATTCCAGCCTTGTATTGGCTTACAATTTTGTCCCTGACATCCTTGGACAGCTCTTTGGTCTTGGCCATGGTGAAGGGTTTGGAATCTGATTGAGTGATTGCTTCTGTGGACAGGTGTCTTTTATACAGGTAACAAGCTGAGATTAGGATCACTCCCTTTAAGAGAGTGCTCCTAATCTCACCTCATTACCGCCCTGTTCACCGCCCTGATTCCCGTAAGGGAGATAGGGCGGTATATAAATTCAATAAATAAATAAATAAATAAATATAAAAGACACCTGGGAGCCAGAAAGCTTACCAATTGATAGGGGATCAAATACTTATTTCACTCATTAAAATGCAAATCAGTTTATAACTTTTTTGAAATGTCTTTTTCTGGATTTTTGTTGTTGTTATTCTGTCTCTCGCTGTTAAAATAAACCTACCATTAAAATTATAGACCGATCATTTCTTTGTTGGTGGGCAAACGTACAAAATCAGCAGGGGATCAAATAATTTTTTCCCTCATTGTAGTTGAGTTTTGTTTTGAGTTAAAACAACAATTTTTCACTTACATCCATATTAGTAGTTCTGAGAAATTATCTTTCTTGAACCTAATTTATAATGCACTAAATGAAGACACGTAATAAAAGACTGTGACCCAAGAGAGAATGAACAAATATTCCGTTATTATTTTGCATCTTGCAATCTAAGCTTTCCCCAAAATGGGGGGGGAGTTGGAAAAAGGACCTAATTACTTCTATTTTTCCAGTTCTGCTTCTTCTGAGCATTGTAATGATTAGAAGTTTAAATTGATATTTATAATGTAAATAGTAAAAAATATGCCTGTTCTTGCATTTACTTGACTATCAGATTTTTAAAAAAGAGTTCTGAATATTCTCAGGGCAAGTGTTTCACTCTTGTGATTTCAATACACCTACACTGAATTCTGTTCCTCTTCTAGAATTCTGTAAGTATTTGAGTATTATTCCCATATTACAAATTAGAAGGCAGTGTAAGAGTTGACAGCTTTCAAGTTTACATAAGGAACTAAAATTTGAGTTGAAGCTATCCAATTTTAGTCAGGTGTTGTGGAATGTTACTTGTAGATTTTCAAGTGTGGACAAAATGATGGTATTTCATTTATTTTGAGTGCATCTCTTCTTGTGTTGCAGGACACATACCCATCAACCCGTACTGTACAAGCAGTATTTGCCTTGCTTGGAATTATAAAGCTGCCCTTGCTGTCATTTATTCACATCACTCAGTAGTATGTTTTCTTGCAGGCCATCTTCATTATGGTGGTTACTGTTTAGATTCTCATGGAGTCCATCACCTGACCCTTGAAGGGATTATAGAAACTCCTCCAGAAAGCAATGCTTTTGGAACTATATATGTCTATAATGACAGACTGGTGTTAAAGGGAAACGGAAGAGTTCCAGATAGGGAGATGTATTACAAAGATCATCCACACAATTCTTTATTTTAAATACTATTGTGTTGGTGTGGGTTAGAAATTGTTATTGTTCCAACTGTTTTTAATTCAAACACAATTTTAATATTCAATAGTGAATAGTGAATAAAGCTATGAAAGACATTGTGTATTTTCTTTAAACAACAACAGGTCCTGGTAAATTGAATTTATCTTATAGTATGTTGTAGTAATTATTTGCCAAAAGTTTACTCTCATGTGTTTCATCTTTGGAGAATTACACTTTCAACTTTAAGTCTGACATGGAAATTGAATGGAAGCTCTACTTGCTGATATGAAGACTGGAAAAATAATACATTGGATTGACATCTATAATCTTGGAATAAAATAGCATTCTGTTTAAAACACCCCCTACCATTATGCTTTTCTCTTTTGAACCCTTTGAAATGATACCACCACTTTCACTTAAGAATAAATTCCTGACTGAGAGATCTAGTCATAGTTTTTCCTCTCGACAGAATTCAGAATTCAATATTCAAACAATATTGAAGTATGAATATCAGAAATACTTTGATGTCTTGCCAATGGAAGAATGAAAAATGAGACAGTATCAAACTTGCTATATACTCTATTCAATTAAAAATGAGTTGTAGAATTATCTACATCCAATTAGATGCAAGGATTTACTAACCAAAACACAATGCTAATACTGTAATGGAAGTTCTTGTTATCCTACATCAATATTAGGATCACTATATCTGGGCTGCAAAAAGCCAAAGAGTATTGGAAAGCAGAAAATAGTTTTTCTAGCTCTATTGCAATCTCATAGTTATCCAAATATGTGTAGTCCAGATATTGTGGCCCTCTATAAAAACACTTAGGCTTTAAAACAGCTAATGTGAAGAATAATTTACAGAGAAATGAGCCTAGCAGTACATTGAATGCTTCTCCAAATTTTAATTTATAGCTTATTACATGGAATATGACATTGTTATGGTTTAAGAATTGTATGTTAATCGTCTGAATAGTGCAGATGTATGTACAGAAGCATGGATGGAATTTCAGAAACACTGGATATGTCCTTATCAAATTAATATATTTATTTACATTTCATAAATATATACAACATATACAACAGTTCCTCCACTGATGTTGTCTGGCTTCAGCCTATGCTTCAGCATGAAGCTCAAACTATAGGCATCTCCCACAGAGACACTGATTTATTCAGTCCAACCTCTTGCGTGTGTCGACCACACAATAAAATGGAAATCATGAACCAACTAGCTTTAATGCAGTTGAAAACAAAGGTCATAATCCACGAAATTCAGTTTTCAGTTATCTTCGAGTTTTCAGTCTTCAGGAGCACTTTAGATAAACTGGTCTTCATGGGAAATAATTAGCCTTATTTGTGGTTCCTGTTCATTTAGCATCAGTAAAGAAGCAACTTCTGAAATCATGGAATTCTTGATGCTTTCCATTATTTTAAATTGCGGTTTTACAGTGAGATGGCCATGATTCTCGCATTTCTGTATTCACATAGATGTATAACCACATAACAAAAGGAAAAAGGCAGAGGAAAATTGCAATGATCAAGTGAAATCCACCCAGGGAATTTCTGGAAAGAAACAGGCAGAGATTTTGCTGAAATCTAATCCAATTCAACCCAATAAACAGTAACTCAGAAATATGAATTATTCTTGGTTTTGTAAAAGTACATTGACATGATTTCTGGAACCAATAAAGAAGTTATACAAATAGTCCTCACTTGGGACTGGCAACTCTTTCACTAAACTAGAACTCCAGTCTCCCCACTCAACTACTTCAGTAAAATTGCTTCTCTATGCTAAATATATATACCAAGGACAAAATAACTTGCTTTTCTCTTTAAAAGAACTTAATCTCCAACTATAACAAGATTGCAAAAGTCAGACATCCTTGGCACAGGAGTATAATATATTTGTCAGGGTAGGAACAAGTTTTCTATGTATTACTAAGCTGGAATTGGCAAGTTAAAAGACTCACTTGGCTGAATTACGACAAAGACTCATCCAGGCAGTAACAATCACCAGACCAAATAACTCCCTGTTTTTAATCAAAAACAACTATGTAAGTTACACAAAATTGATCCCACAAAATAAACTATATGCAAAGAAAGTCTTTGCCTATAGTTACAATAGCATTAATTCTGTTAGTACTGAACAAGCACATACTTACTGAAAGCATATACTGGCAGTTTAAGAAATAAAAAAATACTAGTTGAGGAAAATTTATTTGTCATATTTTAATTAGTTGGGAGTATTAACACAACCCCATCAATCTCAGAGTTTGATTAGGGAATGCAAGTTACAGTACTTCCATTTTAGGCAAGAGATATAAACATTTTACTTGACTTGGGCACTATCTAAGAATGCCATACATTCTTACATTAAAACATGTATACATCAATTGTAATAAGATTGGTTGTAGTCTGTCTACCTTCAACATCTTCAGGTTAAAATATCTCATTCTATTTAAACATATAAAGCTAGATTAAATAGTGACTACAGAAGAACCCCAAAAATATATGTGTGCACCATTAAAAAAAATCAGACCATATCCCAATACTTTGTATCAGGTGTTAGTAATCTCAGATTGCAGGATAAAATCTAGGATTTCTTTCTATTGATTTTCTTGGCACATCAAAATATATCATGTGTGTCAGGAATTTGTTCTAGGGACTTCAAAGCTTTAAATCATTTTAATCCCTTAGATCTAGGGTAGCTTGAGGATCTCACAAGTGTTAAGGATGAGTAGTATGATGATCATGAAAATACAATAATAGTAACAGCACTTAGACTTATATACCGCTCCATAGTGCTTTACAGCCCTCTCTAAGCAGTTTACAGAGTCAGCATGTTGCCCCCAACAGTCTGGGTCCTCATTTTACCGACCTCAGAAGGATGGAAGGCTGAGTCAACTTTGAGCTGGAGAGACTCGAACAGCTGAACTGCTGGCAGCCAGCTGGCAATCAATAGAAGTAGCCTGCAGTACTGCATTCTAACTACTGAACCATCATGGCATAATAATATTGAATTAATGCAGAAAAGATCTCATTACTGACCTGCCTTCTTCCTCATGCAAGATGTTATTTTGAGCAGTAGTAACCAAGGAATATCCCAACACAGCAGAACCCACAACACAAGCAGCTGAATGTAGATCTGATATACTCCTCCACATAATGTTATCTGGAAAATGTGGTGAATTATTTGTACAAATCACAATGGAATTTGCACATTGAATTCATTTTTCTTGGTCAATCTCTTCAAAAGCCTTCAAACAACAATTATAGAGAGAAAACTCTTTAGATTTGGGATTTACTGCACATAATCAAGTCATCGAACAAGAAGAGGCATTTTTCATGCAGGTTGAAATATCTAAAACACCTGTATTTCCAAAATTAAAAATGTAGGAGATACTGAAGAGAGAGAGAAGGCAGCTAACAGGCCACATTAGATACAGATAACACATAAGGAAATGAACATATAGTATGAAATCTCAAGGAAACTAGTCAGTACTAGTACTATTCTTTCATTCCAAAAGGAGTAAGAAGAGCAGAAGAGAATATCAGATTTCAATTGACTCTGAATACTACTAACAAAAATATATGCAAGCATATGTATAGAATACAACAAACTACCTTAATAGAGAAGCAAAATAACATATGGGTTTATACATTATAGAGTTCAAGTTAAATGTGAAAGAAATAGAATGCTAGGCATATCTTAAAAATTATTAAAATGTCACATTTATGTGCCACCTTTTCAATCAAAGAATTGATATATATTATATTTCTCATTTCTGCTTTTTTCTCACAATAATCCCATGTCCCAATCCTAAATCGGTTAAGATGAAAACCTGTGGTGATTTTAACACCTAAGCTTCCCCTCTCTATGTCCAACTACAGTTTCCGATATCACAACTGTGAGGAACTTTTTTTGAGAAAAGGAATTGGGTTAAAAATAATTGTAACTATCAACCATATTCCAAAAAGCATTTACCAAAAAATGGAAGAGTGTACTTCCTTACACAACTGTACGATTTCAATGTTCAGTATATTGTCTACTAGTTTTTTACAATCCCCCCCAAATTCATGGTTTAAGAACGTAGTGAAGAATGTTCAGTTTCTGGATGGGGCACTAAAACATGTTTCTAAATTATCAAAAAGCATAGAAGAGGTGAGTAGCCAGAGTCTATCAGTAATTGGAAGAATGATCTATTTTGCCCAATAATACTATACCTGTGATTGGTGGATTAAGGCTGACTATCAGTGCAAGGCATGCTGGCACAGAGTACACAACCTAAAAGTGAGATATATTAATATATATTTTGTAAATAAATGAAGATAGAAAAAAGGAAAATGGAAGTGTTCAATTCCAATTACTAGATAAATAAACAAGTCCCAAGATTGAATCCCCAGGAGAGATAGGAAAGCTGTAAGCTTTGTTGCTTATTGTCTAAGGTAAAAAGACCTTAGAAGGGCAAAAAAGATCAATTATGCAGAGGCTTTTTGAACCATTGACATTTCACAAAAGGAAAAGAATTGCCAAAGAAGCCACCCACCATCAAAGCAAACAAACCTATCAAGCTGAATGTGATGATTGCAGGTGAAATTATTCTTTCTTATGAATGTTTTGTCTGCTTGGGAAACAGTCTATGTGGGGAAGTAAGCTGCACACAGGAGAACACCTAAACTGTAATTTATATGTTACCTTCAGTTTTGTTATTAGTAATTCAAGTTCATTTTGTAGTATTTGCACTATTAGAAACAGATACAGTATGCCAGCTGTGAACTGTCAAGGAAACTCAAAATTAGGTTGCTGTACAAAGGGTTAGCTTTGAAAACTGTTCAGCAATGGCAGTAAAAGCGCAGTTACAGTTCTTATGTGCAAAGCCACAATAGGATCACATTTTGCTCATTTGTGTATAGCAGCCTTTGTCATTACATAAAATATATTTACTTACTAGTAGCATGCACTTAATTTGAAACTTCAGTACAGTAACTGAAAAATCATCTTCTGCAATTTCAGTTCCTCTCCCCAGATGCCATCATTAATTGCTTTTAGGTCCAGTTTTGTATTTATTCTATATGCAGCAGGTGGCAGTATATAATCAGTCACGGCTGATCTCAAGGAAACCTCCCTCTGGTCTAATAAGCACCTTAATAAAGGTGGGATAAAAAATGTACCACCCCAGTAAAATGTTAGGAAATAATGTTAGCATAGCAAAGGACAAAAACACATACACACAAACACACACACACATATATACTCACTATCCAGAGTCCAGGATCGGGGTCATTGATCTGTAACAAAGAAACAAAACTCATTGCTATAGGCTCTGATATTGAATAGCACATAAAATCGAAATCCTTCAAGATGAACCATAAATCACTGTCAGCTTTCCTTGCTCAATATGTGGACGACTTACTAGAAATCTTTTCTCATTGATAAAGATCATGAGCAAATGTTATTTCTTGAAAACTACATAAAGAATAGAAATTGCAAACATCTAAGAGTGGGCTCCTCTTCTGATGTGCAGAGTCAAATTGTGTGCATCCTATGACAAACCTAACTGATGCCCACTCAATTGTGGCTCTATCCCAGTCGGTAGTATTCATTTTAAAAAGCAACATCAAATCACCTTCAAGTTGCGCTTGAAACTTGGTGACCACGACCTTTCCATATAGTTTCTTAAGCAAGAATACACACCAAATACTGTTCGTGTTTTTTCACTTGCCAAATTGTGGATAGGGATAAAATAGCAGAATGGTGGCAAAAGAGGCTTATTCCACACTAGACAGAAAAGAGCTCCCCCATCCTCCATTGATATGTCCATTGGCCACTTGATCCACCACTAAGGTAATGAGTGAGAAGCATAACAGCTTTTACACATCTTAAGTGTTGGATTAAAGAGAAAAATTTTGCTTTGGGGCCATTCCAGCCTTGCTCTTGGACCGGAGAGGAAATGAAACCAATTCTGCAAAAAGAAAAGGCAGAACAATGGTATTGTCAGCTGGATAAATAGGGGGGGGGGGCGACCCTTACCTGATCAGGTAAGGTCACGGGAAAGTCCAAGGTTGCAGAACAGACCGGCACATCGAAAAATACCCCAGAACAAGATCTTGGCAAACCACTTTCCTATCGAAGCTAAGAAAACTACAGGGACGCGCGATGCTTCCAAGAGTGACCAGGAGTAGGAAGTCTTGACTGTTTACGCTTTTAAAGTTGCTTCTCTAGCGAAGACTTCTCTGGAGTTTTCGCTCCCGTCTCTTCCTACCGCTCTAGTTGGAGTCAGTAGAGGATCGGGGGAAGGAGGAGGATTGTCCTTTCTTGCGACCCCATTACCCGAGTCTTTCCCCAACTCGGGACCTTTCCGGGTTCAGCCCCTCGGCTACTAGAGTTCTGACCTGCGCTACTCCGGAGATTATCCTGCCCAGCTCCTGCTCACTCTTTGTCCCTCTCAACACAAATACTCAGCCATCCCAACCAGACCTGAACGGCTCCAGCCAGCGCGAAGAAGACGGCCATGATCAAGTTGCTGAGCCTCCATAGCCGGCTGGGGCCCGGGACAGGAGGCAAAGAAAAACAGTCAGCCTCCATTGCCCGGAATTACGGCTTGCCTTTCCCAGCCCGCCCCGCTGGGTATACGCGGCCTAGGCGTCACTTTCTTTCAAAGCCCACCCATTTTTCCCACGCCGACGAGCTGCCAGGAGGACGTCCCACCAAAGGAACCGGGAACCCGCCTCTTGTCTTCTTTTCAGTGGGCTCGCGAGATGTGGGGCAAGTAAAGCATATAGTACGGGAGCCGTAACAGCCTGTTACTGACACGCAGCCAATTTGGAGATGCGACTTTGCATCTTCTGTTTGTAAATAAACAGTCAGGCCTTGATCGCTGATGGAAGGAAGCCAGGTCTCTAGTTTCGAAACTGACTTGACTGCTTCTTCCTTTTCAAGTGGGCACGACCTCGACTTTCGTTGTCAAGATTGACTACGAACCGTTTCTTTGAAACCATTTTTTTTAAAAAAAGCATCAAATGAGCTGCCAATAAAATCGTAAGGAAGGACTATGAGGAAACATTGAACATTATGACTGAAACATCTCTTTGATGTAGAAGTGTTATTTATATTGCAATGAATTATTTATTGTCATTAAGATTTCTGCAGTTCTGGCTTCAGTGGATTGTTGGTAATGTGGGTAATGTGAGTTTTGGTACAAACGTATAATTAAAGATCTTCCTCTATTCTTCTAAATTCATTTTTAAAGTCTTGCCCTCTTGAGTTTTTCACTAAATTTAAAAAATGTACATACTGATTTCTCCAGTGTAGCATCTCCCAATATGTTGTTAGGTAGGAATTCAAAATCTAATGAATGGTTGAAGACAATTGATAAAAAAGAAATTCACGTATTTGTTACATTTATTTAAACAACCCCTCCCTTTTCGAGAGAGATGGGCAGTTCAGAAATGCAAAATAAAAAAATGGATTTAAATGTATTCCTGCATGCATCACATGCTTAATAATGAACCCATAAACTTGATTTTAATTATGCATTTAGTGGTAAGACAATGTTTCGCACCAAAGGCCCAAAACTGTTGCCAGTTAGAAATTTATGCAATGGAGTTTGGACAAACACAAAATGCTAGTTGTATCTTTTGAGAGACGGTATAATACGCCAACATCTTATTTTCTAGGCCTATCCGTCTACTGTGCTGGTGACAACCTTCAGGAAACTAACCTGGGCTATGAGATTTATGCCAGAAGTTCAACCATACTGGACATGTCCCATCAGAGAAGCCAGACAAAGAGTGTCTTGCTCACAAACAATATGGTGAGACGTAACTTATAGAAACCTATACCAGACCTGTCGCCCGGTTGATCATCATAAGATCAACAAGGACCAGGGAAGTGTTTGGATGTTGGCTGAACAACCAGGACCAACTACTGCAGGACTATTGGAAGAAAAGTTGCTTATCTGTCACAAATACCAAAGAGAATAAACTGGCCTGCAAGAAAGACAAAATGAAGATAGAAAAGAGCTATGGCAAGGCAAAGTATTATATGGCTGATACAAAAAAACAACAACAACCAGGCAAAGCAGATATCAATAAGGCCTGGCAATGGCTAAGAGCAGGAAAGTTGAAGAAAGATATAGTGGGGTTAATTCTGGCTGTACAAGACCGAGCCTTAAGAACAAATGCATAGAAAGTCAGAATTAAAAGGAGAGCAAGCAACAGCAAATGCAAGCAAATTCTGTCTCTGCAAAGAAGCTGAAAAAGTGGAGCACCTAGTTATCTGCTGCAAGAAAAATGCAAAGACTGACTGTAAACCATGGCATGACAAAGTAGCATCAATAATGCATTGGAATATTTGCAACAAATACCATTTGCCTGCAAACAATAACTGGTGGGGCCACAGCATAGACAAAATAGAAAATGAAGAAGCTAAAGTAGTTTTGGACTTCGTAAAATTTAAACAAACAAGCATCTGCCACACAACACCCCAGACGTAACGCTTGTTGACAAAAAAGTCTGGATAGCAGATGTTGCAGTACCTAAAGAGCAGAGCAGAAGACAAAGAACTGGAGAAAACCACAAAATACAAAGACCTGCAAATAGAAGTGGCAAAAGAAAACAAAGATAGTACCCCTTGAATGTAATTCCAAAACATCAGGAGCACAACCTGAACATCAACATTGTCAGAATCTCTGTCAATTGCAAAAGGCAGCTTTACTTGAAACAGCTTACATTTTACAACAATATCGTTAACCTTGTCAAATAACATCTGCCTATCTCAGATCCTTGGAAAGTACTTAATAGGTGGATAAAAATACCAAATCCAGCCTAAAATCTGGATTGTGTGACCAATCATGATAATAATAATAATAATAAACCTCCAGATATATAGATGTGTCATATATTAGATCTGGTTTTATCTCATAGCAGTTGCAACATGGTCTGATAGTAGAGATCATTAACATCAGTCTATTGTCATAGATAGATCCCTCTCTGATTGTATTCTAGCTTACTGATGTCACCTTTCCCCCACAGGGAGATAGGGCCTGTTTGACTGGCCCACCTGTACCCCAGGTGACTGATGGACCTTATGTGGTTCCTCCTGGTGTTCCTTCAAAAATCTAGTGGCAATTCGGCTGAGGCCATAATCACTACTGGAATGGGCAGATGGTCCCTCCCTGTGCACCAATCCCAGGCACACATTGGTTTATTGAGTCTGGGAGTTGAAGCATCAGAAGGAATGCTTGGAGTGCTCTTGGAATAATCACTGAGTTCAATCAAACATGAAAAAGAGCCCAGCATGATATTTAGGGTAAGCCAGTCCCCACTGAATAGGCATGGGCCACAGTACCACCTGCAAGACTGCTATGAGGAATGCTACTATTATTTGACATATAAAATTGATTGGATCTACTATAAGTTGAATTTTGATAGGGCAAGTCAGACTAAGATGTTGTGGGCTTGGGCTTGTGATCCTATTTAGGATGAATTGGACTTGGTAATTCCTGAGGAAATGACTAGGGTTCTTGGTGCTGTTAGTTCAACCACCTCTCTGCTGGAACCTGGTCCATGCCATGGTTTTAGCCTCTTTGAGGGAGAGGGCAGTACCTCTGCCCTTCTAAAGAGATGATGGCACATCCCTTTCTCAAGAGGCTGCAGTTGCATCCAAAGGGTTTTAAGTAAGTACTGCCCCATCTCCAATCCTTTTTTAGGGAAGATTGTTGAGACTGTAGTTGTTGAGAACCCTGGATGAGAATTTCAGTGAGATTTCAGTATGGAGACAACCTTGGTTGTATTGTTGATGCATTCAGGTGCAATGTACTCCACGATCTTTCACCCATTCCATTGTGCACTCATCGTTGTGCTCCATGATCTCTCAGTGGCTTTCAATTCGCTGACCATATCCTTCTGAACTGGCTCCAGGGGTTGACAACTGGGCATTACTTTTCCATGGTTCTCTTCCTTCTTCAGGACTGATTCCAGTTGGTGCTGAATGGGTTGCTCCCCAAGTCCCTTCTTTTTGAGGTTCCAACACTCCTTCTCCTAATCAACATTTATATGAAACCACTGGGTGAGGTTATTATATCTCACAACCCCAGGCTGGCTAAGTGAGGTAATCTTCGACTTACAACAGTTTGCTTAATGACCATTCAAATTTATAATAGCACTGAAAAAAGTGACATGATAATTTTTCACACTTATGACCATTGCCACATCCCCATGGTCATGTGACCAAAACTCAATACTTGGCAACTGGTTCATATTTATGACAGTTGCAGTGTCCCTGGGTCATGTGATCCTCTTTTGTGACCTGACAAGCAAAGTCAATGGAGAAGCCAGATTCACTTAACAAATGTGTTACTTACTATCTTAACTGCAGATTAACAACTGTGGCAAGAAAGGTTGTAAAATGGGGCAAAACTCATTTAACAAATGTCTCACTTAACAGCATACTTTTGTTGGTTCAGTTGTGGTTGTAAGTTGAGGTTTACCCTATTTCTTGAATAGGGTAAACGCATGTATCTATTCATTGGAAAATAATAAAAATGCCTACTTGAAAGATTGCATATGTTGGGAATACAGTGGGCAATAAGTTTACAATACAAGGCCAAAAGCTAGAAAAACTCATTGGCCTTTCAGGAAGTGTTTAAACCTTCCTCTTTAATCCAATTTTAATCTGTCTTTTGAGGGGGTTTGAATGATAAGAGTTTTAAATAAATACCTATTTTTATAAATATTTTAAGGTATTTATTACAATTGTTTTGTGTTCTAATGCTTTCAGTTTCCATTTTAAGTTATAAGAATGCTTTTACTGTAACTGATTTCTGATATTTGTAATCTTGAGCCCCCAGGTGGACAAGTAGTGTACAGTATACATCATTTTTTAAGAGCGCCCTGTTAATTACAACGTTGTAAATATCAACACTGAAGAAGCTGATAACCAAATAAGGTTCCTTAAAACACTTTCTTCACCAGTATACATTTCCCAGTTTAATATCCTATTCGAAGCGCAGGACCTTTAATTAAGGCAAGGCAGGATAATTCACAGGCTCGATTCCTGCAGAACCGGAGCTGATTACGTTCTCTGGATCTCTAGAGATCTAATTACAGATTCTGTCAAGTAATGATCTTCCACCCTCCTCCTCGTGCCGTCCGGCTTAAACAACGCTTAAACCGTTTTCTACACCCAAGCGTTGCAATTTAAAGACGGGGCGAGGCAGAGAAGCTTGTGCCTTCAATGGCAAACCCGCTCCTGGTTAAGAGGCAGGTTTGAAGCAGAGCCCTTACATTTCGAGAACAGCCGGCCTCTTTCTCTAACCAACCCTTTCGCTTTGCAGTCTCCCACCCCGCCGAGGTCTCTCTAAGGCACTCCCATTTGAAGGGGAGCGCCGACATGCCAGGGTAAGCTGCGAACTTGCGCGCACCGCGCGGCTCCTTCTCTTTCCTCCGTCCTTCCTTCTTGGCTCTTCTGTTTGGGCGAAGGACTCAGAGGCATCATCCGTTCCGCCCGCTGCCTGGGAGGGGTTATACTTGTGCCGCGGAGGTGGGAGGGAGCGACGGAAGAAAACGGAGCCCCAACAGCGCGGAGAGGAGAGGAGCGGCGGCGGTTCGGGTCGGTCGGGGCCCGGGAGGCTGGCGCCTGTCGTCCCGAGTCGGGACTCTGGGTGTCCCGCCAGTTGCCTGGGGCCGAGGCGGGCACGCGCGAGGAGCCGGGGGCGGGCGCGCGGGACGGGGAGGGGGTCGGTCCGCTGCGCTGCTTCTGCTGCATTGCAGCCTCCTTCCCTCCCGCCGTCCGTCCATCTCTCCCTCCCTCCGCGTCTGGCGCGCTGTACAATGGCGGCTCCTAGCCCTGGTCCCGGCTCTGGCTCCGGCCCCGGGTCGCAGGCGGCGCAGACGACAGTCAGCAGCATGCAGGGTAAGGGAGCGGCAACCCGGACCCCGAGCGACAATCCAGAGGCTCTATAGGCCGCGCGTCCACCCCCACCCCCACTCTACCCCCGGCCTTCGCCTTGGACGGGCAGCACGCTCGCTCGCTTGCTCGCCTGCTTGCTTGCTTGCCTGCCTGCCTGCCTGTAGGGACAGGAGGGAGCGCCAGAGCTGGGCAAAGGAGGACCAGGCCTCTCTGGAGGATGATAGGCCTAGAAGCGCGTCCCGGGCAGGAGGAGGTGGAGGCTGAGTTCTTCTTTGGCGAATCCGAGAAGACACCCCCCCCCAAGCTTTACGGAGTGTGAATTTCGGGGGGAGGGGGTGTGGTGTGCATGCAGGAAGACGAAACTGGGGTGGGGGGCGGACAGAGTGTTAAAGAGATGCAAGGCGAGAGGAGTTTAAGGGCCACGAGAACGAGGGAATGAACGAACTAGTACGTGTGTAAGGTACTGGGAGGAGGGGAGGGGCGCGTGTCTATAAATATGCGTGCAAAAAAAACACTCCGAGTCGAAAGCTGATGATCACCCAGAAAATCTGACCTCTGAAATAAATGGATGTGTGAGGCTAGGTGGGTAATTTCCGGCAATGTGGGAAGTGGACCTTTTAATGCACCCCGCGAGATAAATTCGGGGAGCTTAATCCCCGGAGAGAACTAGAATCCGGTGCAGAAGACGGGACGTGTGAATACAGCGAAAGAACAAACCTTAGCCGCCTATGTGAGGGCTTGTTGCTGTGAGGTATATACGGTATGTGTGAAGTGTGTAAGGGAAAGGGTTACAGCAGGTCTTCGATGAGGTGTAGAGTATAAAGCTCACTAGATACCGTAGTAAGGCGTGTTTGTGTGGAGTCATGGAGGAAGCGGTGGTGTAGCTTTAAGAGGCGAAATGAATAAAGGCGTGAGGCGTTCCCTTAAGAAATTCGAAAATAGGTACGGTAAATGTGGAATGTAAAAGGCAAAACAAGTAGATTATGAGCATTCCTCTTCATAGGAAAGGAAAGAGGATGATTATTGTTTACAATAATGTGTAAATCACAGTGTTAAATTGTGAGAGCTCTCTTTTTCAAGATATGTGTATATGGAGTATGTGGTTGACATCCTGTATTGCTGGTTAAATCCAGAAACATACTCTTTTCATTTACACTATGATTTAAATCCACTGTGATATCTATTAGGAAAAGCATTCTGAAATATAGAGGTAGAAGTATATTTTCACTATCATTTAAATTAAAATTCTATTTTGAGTTCCTTAATGCTCTATTACCAGTTCAGGATTTGGAAATGTTAGCATGTCAGTACAATTAGTATGATAATAAATATGAATTTAGTATTACTGAGATTGCAAAATATGCATTTTCCTCCAGGCCAACTGATCACTATGGTAATAGACTGGACAGGAAGTTTTTAATAATGTAATTGCTGCTTCAGAATCATTTCTATGGAAAGAGTGCTTATGTTTTGTAAAACATAATAAAGACCTTGGATTTAATACCATCGTATTTCTGTTTCAGGGGATCTCTAATGCCAGGGGTCTGAGGTTAGAAGAGTAGCTATTATTGGGATATTGATTATGTTAAATTGTCCAAGCCAGTAGTTGACTAAATTAATTATATAAAGTGCTCATCACAGATGTTAGAAAATTGTGATTGACTTTTCCTTGCATTAAAAGTGCACTAAAATGTTTTTTGCAAATATCAGATAATATAGTATTATATTCTGCTTAATGTGCAAATTTTGTGTTTGAAGCAGTGTACTACTGTATGCTGCAATATAAGAATAATCAAAGTAATATATTTAATATCAGGATGGTATTCAAAACCTATTTGAGGAGAAATATGTAATATAGTATTTCAGCAACTATCTGTATATTGTAAAATCTAGTTTTGGACACATTAGTTTAAGAAGCTATACTAGATGGAGTAAGGCACTAATACAGTACATTAATTAAATTTTCTTCTGCTTTGTCTTATTCATGATTAAATTATATGAATTTGTTTTTTCTGGTGTTTCTGTCTCAAAACACTTACCATAATATAAATACATTGACTGTGCTTCCTAGGAATGCTAGGAGTTGTAATTTAGTAACATCTGGAGTGCCACAGGTTGCCACCTCTGATTAAACTATGTAAGTATAGTATAGTATCTGGTTACCATGTGTAGCCAAATTTGTCTTACTCAGTCTAATTCCTAGAAGTTATATCACTTTGTAGCATTTATATATTAGTTACTTCCATGTTTTGTTTCATAGTAAAGAATATTACTTCCCCTGGATATTAGAAATAACGTGCTGAATTGATAGGACTTTTCGATTTATAATATATTTGGGAAAACATCTTGTTTAAAGTTATTTTCAAAATCTGCTTATTGTAACTAATAGTTTATAATAGGCACTCTGTACTTTAACAATTTCTATATTTGTCTGAAAGACATCGTAATCAAATTGGAAGCTCTTAGTCTTGAATTACTTCAAATAAATTATCCAAAGACAGACTGCCCTAGCTGGCTGCTCCTGAGGGGGAAAAAAAACTAAATTCTAAATACTTGTGTATTGCTGTCTTTTTCCCCCCCTTCCATTCAATCATGTTTGTTTCTTGAAGACTGCCTGGATAGGTTCCTGCAGTTTTCTTGGCAACATTTTTCAGGAGTGGTTCACCAGTGCCTTCTTCCTAGGGATGAGAGAGACTACTAGCACAAGGTCACCCAGCTGGCTTTGCGCCTAAGGTGGGACTAGAACTGAATCTCCCAAGACATTTAACATTCAGAACATGATGGTGCTCATCACACAGTACAGTATAACCAGCTGCGATTAATTAAAATTAAACTGCATTAAATCACTATTTAAAAAAGAGAAAAAAATCCAATTTCATGCAACAACATTTTCCATGTGTTACTTCTTCCAGAAACCTGCCATATTCCTTCCTTCAATCTACTCCACAGGCTCTTAAGTTAAGTTGTAAGTTGGAGAAATGAACCATTTCTTCTGTTGATAGGAACTGATTGAGCAATAGAATGAGTTATCATGATTACCAACCATTATTTGATTATCAACCATTATTTAAATAATTTATAATAAGCAGATTTGTTTCTGCTTCATTTACAAGTCCCAACTACTTTATAGAAGAAACTATATTCTCATTTCTAAAAATTATTGATACAGTGATTCCTCATTTTTTAAATTATGTTACATATGCATTATAATAGATGGTAAGCTTGAGTAGAAAAAGCAAGTTTAGATAGTTCTTAATATAGTTCTTAAGGAATTGAATAGTTTCATTGTCTACATATGAAACTTTCATACTACCATTCTATCATTCTAGATTTGATCAAATATTAAGAGATCAGTTATCTTTTTAGTCTCTGAATGTTTGTGAGATTTTTGGTGCTTCAATAACTATACCAGTTTACACATGTACAAAAGTCCTCCCATTTGTCTCAGTGGTAGGTGACATACAATTGAATACAAGGTGTATATTAATAACTCAAGTGAGTAAGGAAGCTTGAATGCTTGATCGCTCTTACACATCCTTGGATGCAAGTCATATATTATGGTTCAAGGTCAAAAGCCATTCTGCTGATCTCCAACTTGCTAAATGCATGATTCCACTGTAACAAGTATAGACTTGTTTTGGTCACTGCCTCTTTTGGAGAAGATTTAATATTATGTTTCTTTTCCCTTCCTGTATTCAAGTGGTGAACAACACACATACCCTAGATAAGTTTAGGTAGTTTTCAGAATGAACCAAGAATGATTAATTGCTCACAAAGAAAAAGAATAGAGCTGTGTAATGTGTGTTCTCCAGCACCGGAGATGGAGAATCCCCATTAGTGGATTCTCCATCTCCATGATGAGAAAAGGCGTTCAGGTAAGACAACGCCCCTTCCCATATTTAAAAGGTGGTGATGTGCTCCCTCCTCAAGCCATTGCTGGAGCCTACATTTATTATTGATTTTAGTCCAATCTCCATTGGATTAGATTGCTGAGGGCTCTGGAAGAAATGGACCTAGTTGTGTTGAGTTTCAGGCTGGGACAAAATTGATTATGCTTGACAATGAATTTTGACAGAACCAGTTGGGGTGATACCACCATCATGGTTCTTGATCTCTTAGTGACTGTTGATAACCATTGATCATGGAATCTGTCTAGATTGGCTATGGAGTTTTGTAGTTGGAGATGAAGGAAGATTTTTTAGGGCCATATTGGTACTGTAGACCGGTTTTCTGTGACTGGTTCCAGTAGATGCAGGAGAGAAGTGGGGAGAAATCCAGCCCAAAACAAACCAGGGTGCCTCAGGATTTGACTTTCTAGTTTTAACTTCTACGTGAGTTCAGCTTAGTGAATTCATTCATCAACCTGTACTTAGTTGTCCAAGTTATTCTGTTGAGGCTTGTTCCATTTCCTGGAAGATGTTTGGATCTGGTTGAGGAAGAACAGGTTTAGCATTGATAAAAATGAATGCTTAATAGGTGCATGGATCTTCTGGGGATAGTCTTTGGCTGTGGATAAATGGTACTTTTCTATGCAAAACTAATACATAATTTCGGAATCTTTCTGGATTCACAGAACCTACTCAAAGATCAAGTGGCAGCTGTGGCAAGGACGGGCTTCTTATAGATTCACTAGTGTACCAGTTGTGCAATTTCCATTTTCTCATAGTCTCGTATGTCTTGGTCCCCTTATGTGGGGAGTACTGCAACATGCTATATATTACTGTAGCTCCTCTTGAACGCCACTCAGGAGGTACACCTGTTCCAGAATGTAGCAGTGCAAGCAGTTATGGGGCACCCCTATTATATGAATTGTATTGTTTCAATTAAGCTTTAAGTGCAATTCCAGATCTTGGTCATCCCCTATTGGTGCTTTATGGCACAGGGCCTGGGTATTTGTGAGGCCACTTCTCTCCTATCATTAGATCTAACAGAGCTGACAGGCTTCATATTCTTCCATTAAGCAATATCTTCTGATGGGATTTATGAGGTAGACCTTCTCTGTC